CTTCACGCGAAAAAGCTCATGCCGAGCGACATTTGCCGCTTTCATTTCCATATAAGGTCAAACGCAGGTATAATGGCTGGTAACCGAGATCCAGTGAACCAATCAGAAAGCTAGAATTGCATTATCCGAGGCTGAGAATTTAATAAAAACCCTTTATCTTACTGGAATAACATGACAAACACACCTCATATTCCTTAATGGCCATAGCAAGAGTATTTCTTCCTCTGAAATAATTATTCACAAGCTCGTAGAATTCATGATCATCTTGTTTGCTTATCTGCAGAAAAATGAATAAATCCAAACCATTAATTTTTACCTGAATGCATTGACCACTGGCAACTATACATGCCTCTCATTCATACAAGCATACTGCGCAAATCTTTTGACCGGAGTTGAGCCTGAGTGTATTTCTTACATGTACATAATAAAATGCATGTACTTCATACATGTACATGCGAAGTAAATCTGCTCTGACTTACTAGTATCAGACTGAGGTACAAATTTTTATTTATTAAAGGTAATTAACATGCCCACATGTACAGTGGTACCTCACGTGTAATTAGTTACTCAGGTGCTGTATGCTGTTAAATGCAATTTAACAATGTTAACAACAAAGAGTAGCTGGTACTTCCAGTCAGTGGTACTCGTATGGTATTGCAGGCTCAGTGCTTCTCACCATTGTACTAGTGTGTCCCAGCATGGCTAGTCCCTGGAACGTTTTGGTGGTAGGACTGAGCAGTTTCCTGCACATCTTAGGTCTATTCGTCAACGTTTATCTGCCCCTCCCCGTCGCCAATGTTAACTCAGTGTGATGGGTGCCTGGAACACTGAGTGGGGGCTTATGGCTGAGTTGGGGGGATTGCCAGCCATGGGAGCATTATACTGTCTAGGGGCTGACTGGTCAAGATGGAGGCCCCTAGATTTCCCAGGAACTCATCTTCCATACAGCACAATGCAGTTGATAATCTTTCACAATGGGAAGAAAATGCCTCGTTTTGACTTACTATAGTGGTAACTGAATTGTTTGATTTATAAACTTATTTACCCTGATAAAATGTTCCACAAATCCTTCCATCTGTTCAAGCAGTGGGTTGAAGTAAAAAGTTTTCAAATGGTCCTCACTGAATGCTTCCAAAGTTTTTCTGTACTTCCTTACACTTGAAACTGGACATGAATAAAATAACAAAAGTATGCATAATTTATTAGCAATGCACCAATCTTTCTTGACCTCAGTGTAAGTTGGTTTACCAATCATGCCTAACTAGCACTGGATTTATAGACATGTTTCTTGCTTTACTCGTGTGTAAAAGAGAATTTTTTTAATTATTACTATTATTACTATTGAAGAGAAGACTGACCATAAACCAACTTGATCTGCGTTAGAGCCTTTGACGTGAACTTACAGGACTATAAATAGCTAGATAAGCCAATGACTCAGTGGTGTGCAAGCAGGCTGGTCAGGAAAAGCAATGATACTCAGATCTGAAGGGGGAGAGTACCAATGCATGCTGACTTAACCAGGTCAACTTTGTTCATATTTAAATGAATATAGCCAGATTTTTTAACTTTATCCTGAGTTCTAGCAAGCAGCAATTTGGTATGACTAATGACATATAATAATTATTGTACTTGAAACTTCATGTTTCCATGGCAACTGTCTTTTTAATGGGAGACAGAAACACGCTAGGTCCAGGGTGGATGACACATATCCACAAGGTGCAGATACGTACTGTAAATCACACAAATCACCATCCACTGGTCAAAACAGTTAATATTTTTCCATACTTATACCTTGAATGACAATTTATCCAGAGTGTAACTAACTACAGCCAGTCCTAAAAATACTTGTACCTGATTCCCTGGCAACAGAATCCAAGTTGAGATACATTTGTGAAGTTCTACTATCCTCATTGATTATAGATGCAGGAGTCTCATTGGCAGTAACCTGCGGTGACAAAATTTGTTCAGCCTTTTCCTCTACAGTATTATCTCTTGAGCTGCTCAGATTAGAATTTTCAATAATGTCACTTTCTTCTGTTGTGTTCAGTTCCTCAGGAACGTTATGTATTGCAACTGGTTCATCCTGTTTTACAGCCAGTGTCTCGCTTTCAACAGATGCTTGAGTTTCAGCAACTGATGAAGATTCAGGCATCACCAAGACACTCTGAGTTTCAATAGCATGGTCATCCAGTGCCTTGCTTTCATGTGACACTCGAGTTTCAGTCACTGCTGAAGATTCAGGCGTCACTGAGACACTCTGAGCTTCAGTGGCATGATCATCCTGGCTATGTGCTACAGATCTCCTAGAGTCAAACTCTACTGTATCTAAAATGTCTGAAGTGTCTACATTTCCAGTTGTCTCATGATCACTGTCCAAATTTTCCAACTCTTTGTCATTCTTGTCCACTTCAGTCTCTTTCTCTGAATGAGAAGACTGATCATTTTGCGGTTCTGATAGAACCTGAGGTATATTTTCTAATTCTTCCCCAATTGACGCGACGCTTTCTGTATTAGCAGTGAATTCAGCAAGTTTACGCATAAGTTCTTCAGATTGTCCTGGAGTGGAAGGTAAGTCAGACTTTGCTGAATCTTCTTCTACGGGCTCTGAAGACGCACTTTGACTTGTTCCTGCAGTGTTAATCGTTTCCGTTTCAGGAATAGTAGTGGCAGCATTCTCTGTCAAATCATGAAAACAACAAACATCTTAGCAGAAGTGCACCAGCTTCAATTATTATAAGCTAATTAAATGTCGCATGTGGTTCAATGCAGCTTACTTGTTTTCACGAAACAACAAAGCTCTAGTGCTTATTAATCAAACCTTTTGCGTCCTGGGATTCTTCATGCTTTTCTGCAGATCTAGAGGTCGTATTTTTAGCCTTCTTCCTGTGTTTTCTCTTTGGCTTTGCGGCTTCCATCTCATGTTTGACTCAGCTGATCTTAGCTAAATTGCACGGATTCAGTCACCTCCAAATCGAGAAGTGTATCCCATGATTCCAAACACAAACTTCCGGTTTGGAATCCAATATGGCGTAAACTTGACAACTTTTCCACTTGACAACCTGGTAAAAAGAAATCCCAATAAAAATTCTGTTAGGGATGATAATATCATTTTCTTGTAGAGATGTGAGAAAAATCTTTCGAATAAAATACCTCTTCGTATTTCAAAGCAAAAGAAGTCGTGGAACTGCCGTGAGCAAGCCTACCTTCAACACCCCCCTCCCCACCATACAGCGGGCATACTTCACTGATACGAGCCCGCGATCTTTCCTATCACAGTCAGTTCCTCGCTTCCTCGCTTCCTGTAGAAACATCGAGCAACATGGCACGAAATTATTTCAAGTTCAGTTTACTTTTTTGGACTTTGTTCTTAATCATTCTTCTGCAAAACAGTTGTCTTGGAAAGGACAAGAAACCGGATCCAAAGAATAAAAAGGAAAAAAGCAGCAAAATCGGCAAAAATATTCTGGACTACAATGAAGCAGATCTGTACAAGTTACTCGACCAATGGGAAGTGAGTATTAACATGCTTCTTAATTTAGCTGAGAGAATGCAAACATATCATTAATTTTTAATTTGTACGCTGGAAAATAAGGAAAGAAAATCAATTTGTCAAGTTTCCCAAAAAGCTTAATTAATCAGTTGACAAATCTGTCAGTCATACTCTAATCACACTGAAACGATTACAAAATATTTTATAAATTATGTTATTTAACACAATTTACACAGCATGGGGGTGGGCATCTTGTTTACTAATACAGGATACAATGACGTACCATGATTATAAAGAAAATACAGCCATATAAAGTTAGTAGGTCTAAAAACTGGACCATGTGGAGTACGATTCAGGGAGTAGTGGTACAAGTAATCGTGAGTAATTTCAATTTTGATTTGAAATTACTAGCATGATTACTCTCTGGATTGTACGACACGCACTCCAATTACTAATTAATTGTATCTATAACAATTTTGAATCTAAAAAAGTCTTTTGCAAACTTCTTTTGAGCGAAAAAGTCAGTAGCACTTTCCATAAAGATTAAAAACTGTTGGAAACGTCAAGAAGGAAGCCATTAAAGCATGTAGAATAGACATGCAAATAGTACAGGTATCCAAGTACAGGGATCCAATTACAAAAAGGTTTAATTAGATCCCTGTAATTGGACACCCACATGATCATGCTTGCTAATTAATTGTATCTATAACAATTTTGAATCAAAAAAGTCTTTCGAGAACTTGTTTTGAGCAGAAAAGTCCATGGCACTTTCTATAAAGATTAAAAATTGTAGGAAACAAAAAGAAGGAAGCCATCAAAGCATGTAAAATTGATCTGCAAATGGCACAGGTATCCAAATACAGGTATCCAATTACAAAAAAGTTGAATTAGATCCCTGTAATTGGACACCCAGGTGATAGTGCCTGTATGAACTCCTACTTATATGGTAAATCTTAAATAGTTCTGAATAATTTTTCACCTTATGTCCCATTATTACCAAATAGTTTGATGATTTGTAAGATTGTTTACAGGTGTATATATCATGAATCTGATCAGTGCTTTGTAATAATCACCCATTTTCCGCAGGAAAATGATGAAGATATTGATGAAGAGGACCGTTATGATGACCACGATCCTCGGAAACCTCCGCCACCAACAGGTGGTTTTGATCCACTGCAATTTAAAGGTGACCCCATGGCTCTACTGAAACAATCCAAGAAGGGAAAAGTTGTTATGTTGTTTGTGTCAGTAGCAGGTACACCAAGTAGGAAAGACACAGAGCAGATTACAGCACGATGGCAGACAAGTCTATTCAATGCGCAGTTTCAGGTTGAAAGGTGAAGTTGATGATAATATTCATGTAATTATGAATAAATGATAAGTTGGTAAATATTGTACAACAGCACTACTTACACACTGCCTACCATTTCAACAGACACACAGATTTCGTGTAAAGATCTAAAACATTTGATGTGGATGCATCATGCACTACAGCCCATGTAACTATATATTTGAATTACAAAGATAAAATAGAAAAAATTAAATCGATTCTGGGATGCTGGAAACTTCGCAGACTTGGCCTTTTAGGTAAAATTACTGTTTTAAAAAGCCTCATAGCTTCACAACTGGTATATATTTTTTCTCCTCTTCAAACAAATCATACAGCAATAAAGGAGATAAATGTAATGTTTTATAACCTCTTATGGAATGACAAAGGCAACAAAATAAAAAGAATGGTAATGATTATTGATTACTCAGAAGGGAGACTTGATTCTGAAAAGATTATATCAGATTATCACTTTCGGTCATCACCCTTATGGTATAATTCACTTATAAGAGTTGAGAATAGACCAGTGTTTTTTAAAGAATGGTTCCTTAAAAGAATAACAAAAGTAGAACATTTAATGGACAACTCCGGAAAGTTTCTCTCGCTCACTGCTTTCCAAACTATACATGACCTGACAGCTGACCTTTAACCTTCTTGGAATCATTTCCTCAATAAAACTTCTTCAAAGATATATACCCCATAATATCAGAACCTCGATCAAACGTGAAAGTTTCTTGTCAAAATTTTTAAAAAGCAAAAAACCTAGTAGACTAGTATATAAGTAACTTGTATCAGGAAAAAGTGAACCACCCAACCAAAGTCAACAAAAGTGGCAGGAAGACATCACTCTCACAACAAAACATGAGCTCAACTGAAAAAGGTTTACCAAATGGCTTTTCAATGTACAAAGAGCACAAAACTTATAGCTTTCAATTTTAAATTTCTTCATAGAAGAATATCAACAAACAACTTCTTGAAAAAAATTGGTCTCGTTGATAGCGAGAAATGCACTTTCTGCAAAAGAGAAACAGAGAAACTTTCACATTTATTTTGGGCTTGCCCAAAAACTCAATATTTTTGGACCAATTTTAAAGTATGGTTACAGTCTTGGCAAGTCATTGCCAAAGAGACACCGTTAGAGCCTGATACAGCACTGGGTCTAAGGCCGGATAGCTCTAAACATAAACTCCAAATTAACTTCTGCTGCTTAAATGCTAAATATTACATTTGGCTATGTAGACAGAAAAAATRTTCTCCAAAACTAAACRATTTCTTACTGTATTAAAACATATCTATGAAATGGAAAAAAAAAATACAACTACAATCATTTTAAAAAAGTGGGAGCCTCTGTTGCCTCTTTTGTAATCTCTTGACAGCTTGACCCTAGTCCCCTGAAAACGAAAATAAAAATGAAAGAACAAGAAACAAGGCGCATATATACCATGCATATTTTCTTTAATTTGCAATTCCAAATTTAAATTACTGACAGGAGTAAACTGGTATGATCTTGCTGTGCTAGAATTGTAAGTAGTGCAAGTAATCTAATCTAATCTTATTATGTTGTATTGTAAGCAGTGTAAGTATTAGTATTGTTAGTAGCGTGAGTATGTGTATTGTATAGAGTAAGTGTTAGTATCATAAGTGGCGTAAGTAATAAGTTTTTGTAAGTAGTGTTAAGTAACTACATTAATTAATATTGTATTGTAAGCAGTGTAAGTAGCAATTAATTAAAAAAAAAAGAACGTGAAGTTTCTATTTCAAATTTATTGCTGCGTCCCAGATTCAGTTTGTGATAGTTTTGACAGTGAGAAACAAACAAAGTTGCTTTAGAGTATCGCAAGATTCACTGGTAAAATATAAATTCATTTACTGATCGACCTTTTCGTCAGCATCACTGTCTTGGTTTCTTAGACTCCCTAATGTTAGGCTCACTACTGATTTACCCTTTATCCTGTAGGTACCTTGTGTCAGATGATCGAGCTCTGTTTATGCTAAAGGATGGTAGTCATGCTTGGGATGTCAAAGATTTCTTGATTACTCAGCCAGACTGCAAACTGGTTGAATTTGACAATCAGCAGTTTCCTGGAGCTGGAGCAAAACAGAAATCAGCAAAAACAGAACTCTGACGAGTCATACCTTTCGCCAACCCTACCTACTAGTTACTGTCGAGTTTCCATTTTATAAACCCCTGAAAGCAGTGACCCTCTGAGAGTAGCGTATGATAACAGTGCATGTTTACCTTTTTACCCAATAAATTGGTGCCCTTAAATAAGAGTCTGAAGTTTTCAACTTGAGTAAAACCTGTTTTGTGTACATGTCCATGTAGTTAGTAGCTTGTAGTGTAAATGAGTTATTTCTAAACTGTCAGTTAATACTGACAAATATGTTCAAAACAATCTGCTCAGTTTTAAGCCTCTCAGTATAAATAGCAATATTTTGGCTCAAGAGTAATATTTATATACAGTAGCAACTCATTTTTACTGTATTTTATTCAACTAACTTGTACAAACATTGAGTCAGATTGTGATATAGTTAGTACTTAAAGATGCGAAACCATTTGAAGCAGTTGGACATACCTGTGTCAGAAGGCATGTATTTAACTCATAACAAGCCAGAATAATTACAATTAATTTGTAGTTGTCTGAACTGGTGAATGTGTTTGTTTGTCTTCTAAGAATGGTTTGGTTTGCAAAAAATAGAGATTATATGGGCCTATTAAATTTGAAATATAATGGCATGTAATGGAGGGTTATATTTCTTAAGTAGCATCATCACAATGGGCATAGCTGTTGTTTGTAGTAGAGGTACGTTTTTGTAAGTAGCGTCTACCAACTTGTTTTTCAAGGCTAAATAGACCATTTTACAGTATGTTGTCTGCTCAGTGACCTGGCCTTTGAATGGCAGCGAGGCTGGAGGTGACCTTGCTTTGATAAAGACCTCTCTGCTTTTGTCATATAATTGCAACCAGCTAGCATTAGTACAACTTGATTTTCACAACAAAAGCAGTGAGGTCTGTATCAAAACAAGGTCACCTCCAGCCTCGCTGCCATTCAAAGGCTAGGTCACTGAGCAGACAACTGTAAAATGGTCTATTTCACATTTCAACAGAAGCTTAAAAACTATCAACTGAAAATTTATAGAACTAGCAATACATTGTTGCACTTTGTGGAAAGGGGTGGAACATGTTGAAGATGGGTAGAAATGGCAAAATTGGAAATCTATTGATTTCAAAATGGAAAAGTTTCAAAATGTTGTGAGTTATAAGACATGTTAAATCAATAGGTCATTTTACAAACCTTACTATACGTCAATTGTAATGTTGGATGTATGAAATTGCTTCAGTCTGTATAACTTAGTTTAAATAATTTAGGACAAATTCATCAATCTATCTTAAATTGTTGTAATTTTGCTACCTGTAATTAAAATTTGATTTTCCAGTAATTTTGCTGTTTTTGAATAAATCTGATGTCATTAGAACCAGGTTTACCCATGACACAACCATAAACACAACACGAGCATAAGAGTGTTCACATGTGTGATTAGAATGAGCACAAGGCGACATAAACAGGTCTACTCTAGAGCCTTTTGTTTCAGTTTTGATCAGCCCTGTTCTTAAGCTTGCATCGCTACACAGGTAATGCAACAATGAACAATGCTGTAAATATTTACACACACATCAAGTTAAATGATTTCCTTTTAGTCTGCTGGCCCATCAGGTTGTAACTTATTTCCAGTTTCCATGGCATGGAATGACTAAGAGTATTTCTACTCTCCCCTAGATGGGATGCTAGCCAATTGCAGGCTTACCCCCCCCCCCCTCTACTCATTTGTACACCTGGGTGGAGAGACACTTTTACAAGTAAGGTGTCTTGGCTCACTCAGGCTTGATCCATAGTCAAGCATGCTAAAGATTAGGTCAGCATGCCTCTCACATTGTATCACATGTAAACCAGGCTAAATTTGCATAGTTACATGTGCAATGTCAAGCATCATTAATTACAGTCTGCAAAATAAGCAATGTCCAGATGCTAAAGGAAAACATTAGTGTTTAGGGAATTAATTACCATAAATCCTCAAATTNCCCTTGAATAAGCGCCCCTCCTATCGGCCAAGATTAAAAATAAGCGCCTCCCCTTAAATAAGCGCCCCCCTCAACTTCGACCATTTTGTGGACGAGTACTGAGCCAACAAGAGATGTATAGTTTTCTTCGTGTAGTATTAGATTTGTGCATTGTTTCAGTTTGAGAACATGTTAAGTGAACAGGTTAAGTACTGATGGTGCCGTGATTTAAACTTAAGGATCAGCTTTTTATGTTGATAAACAGTTTATGTTGTTGTCTATGCGCAGAGGATGTATGAAAAAAATGATCATGTCAGACCACGATTTGGGACAAATTAAATAAGCGCCCCCATATTCTCCTAAATTTGAATTACATGTAAGCGCCCCAGGCACTAATTCAAGGATTTATGGTAATTAATTTTGTTCCATTCACTCTCTATTGCCATATTTTTACATTTGCCTCCAGTGAGTGTTAGATATTCAGTCTTCTCTTAAGTCTTGAATTACTGAGAGGTAATAATTAGATTTCATTTGACAGGCTGCAAGAGTCCTTAAATTTGAATTTCAAAAAATTATTCCAAGACCTGCAAATCCTTGAAGAGTGTATGGTTGAACCTCTCTTACAAACTCCTCTATATGACAGATAGTTCACCATGTTCTTACGATCCTTAAGAAACAGGAATTCGTGTAATCTTTAAATACCTTCACAAGACAGACACTTGACTCAGGGTAATTTCTAAAGAGGTTAACCTGTAATTGCTGCTTGAAGGTCCTTCAAAAGTTTTGTTTTGTTGATTCAAGAGCTCATTCAAATAAAATACAACAGAAAACTGCACGGCCTTAACAAAACTGAATTTCTGCAAAATTTCATGCAAATTATCTAAGATACAAGACCTTGACCTTATTATTGTCAGGTATATAGTGCATGCGACCTTCGTTTACTTGTATCTATTTAACTCAAGATTTCTCTCATAATCCAAGTAAAGGCATGAACCAAGTTTTTTGTCACAAACTCCCCGTACTGTTGGGTTTAACTTACGCGAGTTTCAAACCTTGCCAATCTTCAAAAAGCCTCGAAATGAACGCGGTTGCATGCACTCAAAGTTTGGCGAAAATTGATCCCCAAACAAGTAAAAATGCTCGACAGCCTAAACACTCAATTATCAGTGATCAGCTCTGTGTGATCACAGCCTCAAGCACTAAAACGAAATAACGAGACGAACGAGTTACGACAACAAATGCCTTCGTTGCAACCAAAAGATCGCATTGAACTTGCCGCCATATTGTAAGCACGTGGCGACCTCTAAACTGGACGCGGCGACGCAAGGTTTGTGTCAAGAACTCTTAATAACGAACCCAAATAACACTACAATTTTAAAACATTGACCATTGACTTTCTCAGACTTAAAAAGGGTGGGACACAGTGAGAGTAAGCCCCGTTGAGTTGAACATCAGCCAAAGATGTCTCCTTGCATAACTTTGCTTCGACAGAAATGTCCTCCTCTCGCCTTCAGCTCTGCCATGAAGCTTCTTCGCTAGTGACTTGAGAAACACCTACTTCTTTACGACTGACACTTTCTGCCTCAGGTCCGGGGACTTTCCCCAAAGCCAACAAAGCGTTGTTGAGAAATGGACTTACAAACCAAGTTCGAAAGTCGTCTCTCCGTTTGTAGCTTCGTAGCAAGTCTTCACTGTGTCACACAACGTAAAGAGGCCAAATGTGTCTATATAACTTAACGGTACACCAATCAGAAACGCTGTCATATTGGCGTTGAGAAGAATCACCAATCAAATGCAAGGTCTTATTTTAAGCTCGTTCTCAGACTCTCTCTTGCTGCTTGATAGTCCATTGCCCGAAAAATTACGCTCAACGCTCGACACTTCTTGTTACAAATTCTATTTGTTCTTGACCGGGCAAATACGCATTACCTCCTGGCCTATGGAGCTTTTGTAAAGACGTCATTTGTCACGTCAAGTCGCAAGAGCGTGGGAAAACGAGTCTGCAATGTCCTTTCGGCGGTCAGCGGCTAGGGATCTAGTCGTGACCCCATAACTCAGATCACGCTGCGGCCAAAACGGTGTGGCGGTTGGGGAAGTTTTTCTTTTTGNNTGACCATCATTTGTGAAAAATAACATAACATTGTTCCACTAAACGTTTTCTGGCCGGGAAAAATTGTTTCCCTATTTGTGCATTCGTTTGGATTCCGCTATTTGTACAAATGACGTCAATGGCCGCTGTCACGCGACGACATTTTCCAGATTCAACTTTCGTTANGCTTACAAGAAAAGAACACAACAATGGCAACAACAACAACAAGTTCTATTCAAATCTAATTCAAACAAAAATTTCAGGGCCAGTGATTTTCTACAGCTCAGAAGTTTGACTTTCAGTTGATTGATATACTGATATATTTAATAAATATTTAACGTTTAAATACGAGTTATTAAATTTTTTTACCTTGCTTTTAATTATAGGCTGTGACTCAGAGAAAGATGGAGAATGCAGTGAAAATGATGCATCAGAGAAATACAAATTGTCATCAGATGGAATGACAGATAGAAATGCTGCTGGGAATGGAAAGTTCCGTCTCACAGTCTACAACCCAGTGGCAAACACAGGTAACCTTCTACTCAACCTTGCATGCTGGCCTGTTATGACTACCATTGGTATACAGGAGATCCACAGGTGCTCACAAAGGGCTGGGATTGTTTCCAAAGTAAAGGTGGGGGCACTCTTGCTCATGTTTCAGGAGAAAGAGGGCCTGGATTTATCGACTTGATCTCAGTGCCAATGACTAGCTACACAGCCAGTGTACCCAGAATGTGAATCGTCTTCCAAGATGTTAACTTTGATATGCCTCACAAGAGAAAGACACAAGATCTTGTGACCCACACCTCAAACAAGAATCTTTCCCATGTTGTGAATGGGAATCAAACTTACTGCAACTGGATCTCTGTGACAGATGCTTGGTGCTAACCTCTGCACTACAGAGACAACGACCACTGTTGATTGAATTGAACATAAACTTAGCATGCAATGATTACCTGACATTTTCTTTCAGGCCTCTTGCACTTGGAATTACTTCTATCAGTATTCAATTTACCCTGTTTACTATTGATCCCAGATGTCTGTTGAAATGGCTTTTTTTTCAGACCGTTTCACACACCGTTTGTTTCAGCAGCGGATTCAAAAAAGTGATTACCTGATGACAAGCATCTCTTGGTGCAGATGACCACAGTTTGTAACACAGCTGTTGCAAATTCCTCAAAAGTACCAAGTTCAAGGCAAATCTTGTCCATGTGATGGATTTTGCATCTTTTGAACTCTCCTCTATAGCATATTTTGGATTGTATATTGCTAGAAAGTGCAAAGCTCAACAAACTTGCAAACAAACTGTGAAGCAACTTTCCTGACGGCAGAGATTCTCTCATCACATGATCATAAAATTCATCATCACATGATCACTTTTTCTGCATCCATGATTAAAGCAATGGTGCATGCATTGGCCTGAAAAAAGGCCATTTCAACAGACCTCTGGGAACAATAGTATGCATTGTCTTGCTGACAAAGTTTCTCTGTAATCGTGGCTTTCCTTGTGTGGTTACTTTCTCAGGTTTACGGGGTGTACGTATCATGCAACAGATTGTCCCTTTCCATCAAAGTACAGTCGACATTCACTTTAGTGCAAACTCGGTTGTTATGACAACTGAAAATGTGGCTAGGCTCTGCCTCAAAGAGCCTTCCGTCTCTCCTGTAAGGTGGCACCAAAGATCAGTTGAAATTGATGGAACAGTGATCAGTACTGTGAAAACACAAGGTAAGTGTTTGTCTTTGTGCACAATCTTTCACATGGTACAAAATTTCCTTGGCAAGCAATGGCAAGCTAAGTGAAAAAAGTTAAGTCATTGTTTTGGAAGATCAATAGGCCACATTCAATATATCAATATTCTAACATGGCTCTGAGGCTTTTGGGTCAAAATTGCAAATTTTTCAATTTTCTTTGGTCCCTCAATATTATTCCCAAAAGAGACATGGATACAGAGAAAGCAACACCAAATATAGAAATTTGACCTGAAAGCCTCAGAGCCATGTTAGAATACTAGTACAATGAACGTGGCCTATTGCATGCCAGTTTAATTTTAAGCTTTCACTATCTCATCTGCTCATATGTGGCAGGTGATGGTGTAACATTGTTGTCAGTGGTACTGGGGTAGGGCACCTTGCTCTCACAGGGTCTCTCTCCTCCCTGGATTATAGATGCGCATCAGCAAAGTGTTTAGACCAACCTGACAGATATCTGTTGGGTAACCTGTGATAGACTAGCAGCCTATCAAGGGGGGAATAGCCCTGGGAGGGGGTCATCCATTAAAAAGGATGGGGGTGCTAATCAGAAATTTTGAAAAAAAACCCTAAGAGGTATCAAGATCCTGTTTTGTGGGTGTAGCTTCAAATTTTTTTCACCCCTCAGAGGTACTGATTGATTCTAAAACAAAACATCTCCTGTCATATGTTTTCGGCTCAATAGGTATATGTATGACATGGTATATGTATATATAGGTATATGTATGCAAAAGGTATATGTATGACAAGCACCCCATCCCTTTTATGTGGGAGTTCAACCCCCCCCCCCCCCCCCCCCCNCCCCTCCCCCCCCGGGAATAGCCATACTCCTATGTCACCTCATGCTACTAACAACAAATGTAAGAGCCACTGGTCTGATCAGCCCTCAGGGTGGTCCAGTTTCTAGAATTAATACACAGACTTAAATACAGTCAGCTGTCTTGATGTTAGTGCCAAACCGCTTCACTTGCTACTTCTGTTTTGTAACTCACAGCTAGCCAAGAATGTGTTGTTTCTCTCTGCAAGTCTGATGGTTCCAAATGGGAGCCCTGTCAGGATACAGGCCTTGTGTCTGAACTCACAAGAGGCCCTGCCAACATGGGACCTGCTAGAAGAGTTGCTGAAGCACCATTTCTGATAGTTACGGGTGAGTTGGAATAAGAAAGTCAAACTCTGGAAAGTTAAACACGTTCAAGTTTAATTTTGAACTGGTCAACTACTACATGGAAATGTTGTTTATAACATGCATTACAAAATATCTTTTGCATATGTCTACATGTACTTGAAATAGAATCTTTCTGCCCATTGCAATAATTGAACACAAATATCTAATAACATATCCAAATATGTAGTTTCCTTTTGTTTTCCTCAGTACAGCCATCATTTTTTTGGCTCCCATCATTGTTCAACATATCATTACAATTATTTCTATTACTTCAGAGTTAACGACTCGTTCTACTGTGAATACACGAGTCTTTTGTAACCCCACAGTTTATTCCAGCCTAACCTTACATATTGTCCCGAGTAAACAATGTATCCACGTGATGGTTACAAGCTAGAAACCTTTTTTCGCCTGAATATACTTTATTTTATCACATACAACACTACATAACACTATTTACAACACTTTAGTTTACATTGCCATGTTACTTACATAACTTTACGATACCAAAAAACTATCGTGCTGCTAGGTATAAAATGGGTGTGCAAGCACCGTATATCTTTACAGTTGTCTGCTCAGTGACCTGGCCTGTGGATGGCAGCGAAGCTGGAGTATTGTGAAGAAGAGCTCCCGAAAAAACCTGTCCGTCAACTGTCGGCCGACAGACAGCCGACAGGTTTTTTTGGGAGCTGTTCTATCGATCTCTGAAGCTGATTTTAATGGTTTGACTAAGGCAAGGGGGTCTGGACATGAATGTGCTTAAACATTAGATTCACAACAACTACGGCAAAAGGACCAAAAAATGTCAACACCAGGGTCCCAAGAAAACTCACTTCTTTGCCAAGCACGCGGATACCTGAAGTACACGTATCTCGGAAGTAGGTTTTAAAATCTTCCCTGTCTTGCCTCTTGTTGAATATCTTCATGTTGGAGTCTTGATTTCCGTAATCGCTGTCTTCCACAGTGGCTTGAACGCTCTTTAAGCAGCTTTTGAGTTTGGTCATCTTGTACAGTGGGATGGCATAGAGGGCCACGTTTTGGGTGAGGTCTAGAATTGCCGTAACTACGATTTCTTTGGTCTTCAGCTTGTATTGGTCGATGACAGTCTTGGTCCAGCCCGGAAATCGGTGGGAGAGTCCGTTTGCCCCTGTTCCTCCGGAAGAGTCATTTCCCGGGGGGGTTATCACCAGAAGATACGGGAATGAATGTTTTCCGGCCAACCGGTGGGGGAAAGCCTTGATATTTTCCTGTGCAAAAGGCAGGGTTTGCAAGCTGGTGGTAGTAGCACTGGCCGGTAGGTAATGAATTGTGTGGTTCGTGGTTATCACCGTTTCAATTTTCTCGACGATGGAGAAGATTTCGAGTGCCGAAGCCAACAGGAGCATAGCGATGTAGAGTACCAGGAAAAAGCGGAAGGCGTTCTCCGTGTCCATGATTAGATTTTTAATCTTTATGGCCCTTTGTTTGGCTTGGTCTTCCCTTTGATAATCACGCTTTAGAAGTTCTTCCTTGAAATTCTCCACCTCGCAGCTCAGGAATAACAGCATGTTGAGAAACACGTAGAAAACAGGCAGAGAGAAGGCGCGATTCATTGTATAAAACACAGCATCAAAGACAATCTGCACAGGTAGGAAGGTTTCGTTTGTAACATGTTTGATCGTTCCGTTCTTGTAGCTTACCATTGACAAGAAATCAGGGATTATCATTTGTGTGAGGTGCATGCCAAGCGGCAGAATAAAGAGACAAATCCCTGACCCCACAGAGAACAGCCAACTGGACGAAG